GAAAGGGAGGTAGGAAGAGGAGATCTGGTGATGGATGTCTTCTAGAAGTTTCTTCTTCTGGGCAAGGTTTAGGCGGAGAGACTGGTTCGTGTGAGGGTTTTCCATTTGGAGCATTTTCTGTTTGGGGAGCCAGTGAGAGCCTGATACTGTCACCTGATCATACCATCCCCCCTCCCCGCCCTGCCTCCACCAAAGAAAACCCTGGATACAGCCGTGCCCTAACAGGGCAGTTCTGATTTGATTTTCCAAAGCCTGGACAGCTGGGGTTTGCAGGCTGCTAGGGGTGAGGAGCAGCCCTCGGGTGGGGGGTGGTGCAAGGCAGGGGCGGGGCTGAGCCCACAGCAGCGGGCAGAGCACGGCTGGCACAGCCCCATGGTCACGGGGCTGTTTACTCGGGGCACGGGCTTTCCTGCACATTTACACTGCACAGACCAGGGAAGAGGCGACATCAACACTCTGGCTGCTTGCTTTTGAGGTGCTTTCCCCAACGGGAAGTAGTGGTTCATGGGCAGCTGGAGCACAGGGGTACATGAACCCTGAAGAGAACCAGCCAAGCGCAGTGAAACCCAGCCTGTTGTGTTCTGCCTCGTCCCGAGGCGCGCTTGTGTTGGGTACATGTTACTCTTGTAGATTGCAGTTCCTGCCAGTTCTCACGTGCTTTCGTTAGGATCTGAGTGGAAGCTTGGCCAGAGAGGCACACAGCCAAGACCAGGAAAGTCACACTCCTGAGATACATCTCTAAAATCAGGGCAAAAACCCAGAACAGAACAAAAATTCTGGCACAACTGCAGCCTGCAAGTTGGGGAGTTGGAGCAGAAGGAAGCGGTAAAGGAACTGACTGTGACTTTGGCCTTTGGAATCAGGGCGACCAACCCCCTCCGGCCCCCAGACCTCCTGGAGGACACGGCCCCTGGAAAAGGTGTTGGTGCTTTCTACTGCTGTGATAAAATGCCCGAGACTGGGTACTTTATTTCAAAGAGAGGTTTATGAAGCTCTAAGTTTTGGAAGCTGAAAGTGCAAATGGCGTGGCACTGGCTCTGGTGGGGGCCTCACGGTGGATGGAGTGTGCATGAGAGTGAGACGCAGCAGGCAGAAGCAGGTCTCAAACCCAGACACTCTGCTAAGGGACATGGGACGCAGGCATCCTATGCAGCAGCTTGACCCACTGCACCACAACACCTGCCCCTGAACTCCTCCTTGTCAAAGGACAGACCTGACAAACAGAATGTGGGTCCCGGGGCTGACATGCACAGTGTGTAGGAAGGACAACGTTCTCATCTCGTACCAGAGCACTGCTTAGAATCCTGCTTGCCCTGCTGATGCACCTGGGAGGGCAGCGGAAGACAGCCCAGGCACTTGGGCCCCTGCCACCCACCCACGTGGGAGACCAGGATGGAGTTCTTGGCTCCTGGCTTTGGTCTGAACCAGACTTGGCTGTTGCAGCCATTTGGGGAGTGTGAACCAGTGGATGGATGCAAGTTCTCTTTCTGTGTGTCTCTACCTCTTAATCTGTCACTACGCCTTCCAAATAAATAACTAAATATTGGGGGAAAAAAAAAGTGGGTCCTTATTCCTGCCTTGTCCCCTACCCTCCTGGGCCCCAGGGAAGGTCCACCCAGAGGCCTGTCAGAGGGCCCCAATTATAGGCGCTCAGGCCTGGGTCCAGCTCATCCCTTTCCCAATCCTTCAGGCCGCAGGCTGACCTCTGACCTCTGTGTTTTCCCATGGCCCTCACCTGGCAGTCTGGTCCCTGGCTGGGGTCAAATCCTGGCCTCCAAGGGCAGGAAGTGGTCAGGAGCACATAGCCCTGCTCCTCATCTGTATCCCCAACCCTTCACCCTCTTAGCTCTGGGTCCAGGCCAGGTCCAAATCAGCCCTGAGGCAGGAGACGCCCCTGTGAGACCACCTTAGCACCTCAAGCCCAAGGCTGCCCAGTGGCTCCTTCTACATAACAAAGGGTGGGGTGCCTGCTCTCTGACAACAGTTCAGCCCTGGAGCAGGCCTCAATCCACACCAGATTTCTTCTTCTGGCCCCTGGCTAGGGTTGCAGGTTTGGCAAATAGAAATGCAGGAAGGACTGTGGTAAAATCTAAGCCTCAGATAAACAGCCAATAATCTTCTGGCATCAGTAGATGCAGGCGGCTCCATTTATTTTACCTGGTACCTCTACCCCTGACTTCAACCAGCCGCCAAATCGACACTCAGGAGAGGGGGCCTCTGTGTAGGGGAAGCCTCTGGATGGGGGGTGGCCCCTTGGCCCCCTGCCCAGACCCGGTCACCTGGACTAAGTCCACCTGGCTGGCCTCAGGGGGTCAGGGCAGGATTTGGCAGCAAGCAGTGTGAGGGCGGGGAAAGCACTCTGGGCTGGGAATGGCCAACCTCCGACGTGGAGCAGAGCACGAGTTGTGTGAACTTGGGGAAGTTGTGGCCACGCAGAGGCTCCCTTCTCTCTGCTCAAAAATCAAGGGAAAAGGGTAGACGGCCAACTCTGAACTCTACGAACAGCCGCAGGAGGAGGGAGAGGATGCGGCTCCTTATTGGACGGAACGCGTCAGCACCACCAGTCACTCCTGTGGAGGAATGCCCCTGCCCGGCAGTGGAGAAGTTGTAGGGACAAATCCACAGCAAGGACCAACAGCCTGGGTCCCCATGAGCCTTCTGGGCTCGGGCCGGGGATGCTCATGTCTGCAGGCAGGCCAGCTCCCGGAGCATTGAGGCTGATGGGGCAGTTGAGCTCCCGCTAGGGTCTGGGGGCAGCAAGCAACAGGACTCTCTGCCCACAGAGAGCACCTGAGCAACCTGGGGCTGGCTGGGGGCAGAGATGAGAGCCCCCACCTCTTCAAAATGAGCTTTTTTTTTTTTTTTAAAGCTTTTATTTATTTGAGAGGTAGAGTTACAGACAGTGAGAGGGAGAGACAGAGAGAAAGGTCTTCCATCCGCTGGTTCACTTCCCAAATGGCCACAACGGCAGGAGCTGCGCCAATCCGAAGCCAGGAGCCAGGAGCTTCTTCTGGGTCTCCCACATGGGTGCAGGGGCCCAAGGACTTGGGCCATCTTCTACTGCCTTCCCAGGCAACAGCAGAGAGCTGGATTGGAAGAGGAGCAGCCAGGACTAGAACTGGCACCCATATGGGATGCCGACTGCGCCACGGCGCCAGCTCCCAGGAAATGAGCTTTTGACCTTAACACTGAAGGTGAAGAAGGGGCTCAGGGCCATTGAACAGATAGTAGTAGGCAGCTGCCTTCAGTCCAGACAGCCCCCTCCTCAGGGCTCAGGGACCTGTCTGGCTGCTGGGCTCCCAGGAGGTCAAGGGATGTGACCTCCCTCCCTCCCTCCCACCACCACCATGTGGTGAGGAGGAGCCGTGGCTGGGAGGATGGCAGCCTGGGCCCTGGACTCTGGCTGTGCACAGAAGGTGCCCTCGTGGCCAGGACCATGGACAGGAGGAGAGCCGAGCAGGACACAGGCAGGACCTGCTGGGGCCCCGTTCTCCCCCGGGGACACTCTGGTCTGGGCCTGTCTGGGAGCATCTCCTTGCCACCTGGTCCTCTGGGACATCTGCCTTCTGTCTCCCCTTGCTGTGCGCACTGCAGACACTGGGTGGGGACAGAGGTGTGTTTGAAAAAATACTTGAGTCAAAGGCCAAGTTACTCCCATTGGGGCCAACCCAGCCCCTGTGCTGGGAGCCACCCCCAGGGCTTCCAAGGCCAGCAGCCTGCAGGAGGGTTCTGAGCCTCAGCCTCTCCCCTGAGGGGACCTTGGCAGCCCTCCTGCTGGGTGCAGATGGCCAGGCCCGAGGGCGTCCTCAGCTACCTGGGCCGTGCCAGAGCGCCCGCTGACCCCGCTCCTGTCCCCAGAGGTGGGTGGGCAAGTTCTGCTGTCGGACGCCTCCACGCACCTGCTGGTGTTCGGCATGGAGAAGCGGGCTGCCCGCCCCAACAGCGAGCTGGTGCAGGCCGTGCTGGGGCTCTTCCAGGAGCGG